CCCTGAGCTCCCTCCCTGGGTGCCTGTCTGAGTGTGTGTGTGTGTGTGTGTGTGTGTGTGTGTGTGTGTGTGTGTGTGTAACAAGCAGTTCTTAGCCCTTCAGGCCCCCAGCCTCCTGCCTCAGTGGTTTTCCAGGACGGAGATGAGCCCCACCAGGGCACAGGCTCCGCCTCCCATGCCCATCAGGAAGCCCATCCCCAGGCCCCCCCCAGGGGCCCTCCTGGGGCTCAGCTCCCCCCTTGGGAGGCCGCTGTGCTTTTCCTCACGCTGTCCAGAGACCATGAGGAAACGTCCCCTGCTGAGCCTCATACCAATGAGATGAACTGGCTTCCAAACACTTCCCACCAAGAACACAGCCTGCACAGTTCAAGGGTAAAAACTGGGTTTCCTCCAGGAACGGCTTTGTTATTTCACTGGTATGTGTTGATCACTGGAGGGCTTCCCGCAATGCCCCCTGGCCCCTGCTCTAGAAGAATCTGGATCAAACACGGGCACCTGTGGACACAGGCAAAAGGCAGTGGAGACAACACACAATATGCGAAGAACACGGTCTTCACGTTCTCGAAAAGTGAAACCCAAGTGTCAGACGTCTGTCTTTCTCATACAGGTTATACTTTACTCTATAATGATGCCAAGCGCCGATTCATTTTTAGTGCAAAACAGATCCCAGTTCTGAAGTGGGATATTTTGAACAGGTGTGTTAAAATTACTTGCAGACCTTTTTCAAACGCTGGCTGAGGAGCAGTTTTCACAGCAGAAGCTGGAGTTACCCAAACTCCACACTGAGGCGAAGCTGATGGACCTTGTAGACGCGATGGGTCAGCTGCCCTACATGAAATGCCAGCACTGGATAAACCACGCACCTGCCTACACCGCCACCTGCTGCCACGACCTGGAATATACCTGTTAATTAGGAGCCTGGTAGAAACACAGGTTGGAGAAAATATAAAATAAAACCGCCGTGGAGGAAGAGTGAACCAAATTCCTTAAACACCAGCATAAGCTCCTTTAGAAGTGTCATGAGCATCTATGGTCGAGCAAGGCTGGCTCCGATGTGACCCTCCATGCCGGCTGGCCCGTGAGGCATGACCGGTCTGTCTGCAGAGCAAGTCAAAGCCAACCTGGAGGCCAGGTCTTCTCAGCACCAGCAGCGCTGTCAGCAAGGCCTGTTCATGCACGAGCAATGCAAGCGGGTTTCTGTCCTCTCATTTCTAACTAAAATCATTCATTGGCTGTCCACACTCAAACTATGCCTGGGAAAGTGCTCCGGGCCACGGGTGGTGCTCGCTGGGAAACTGTTTGATGACAACCATCAAATGGGTCGATGTTACATCCAAGAAGAGAGGTTGGGCAAATAGCATCCATCAGTGTGAGACTCTGGGTGCCGTGCATCTGACGTGCAGTAGGTCAGCCCCCATCACGTGGGCAGCCATGCTCAGTCAGCATCCCAGCCACAGGGCACAGAGGTTTCGGTGAATGATGTGGATGGTCAATTTCTCATTCAAGCAGAGTTGACAGCACATGGCATATTTCATAAGGGTTGTTTTTTAATTCAGTAACTGTGTTATACAGACTCTTAGCACTCACAGCTTCCAGACCCGCCGGTTCTCAAGCTTGCCTACTGGGAAAGAAGCTCCTTCTAATAACAAATGTCTTTCCCTTTTCCAGTGACCCAGTTATTTTACATGCAGAAAGGGGAACAGTCACAGAGAATTGTGAGCATCTGAAGTCAAGTGAAGGGAACACTTCTCAGCTCTGGGAGTGTTTTCATTGTTTTGGGAATGTAATTTCTGAAGAAAACATTTTTATTCCTGGCCACAGACCATCCCCCAAACAACAACTCTTTGTGGTTCTAAGGAGTAATTTTGAGGCTTTATCCTCATGACAGGCATTCTTTCCTATGGTGCAAACAGTCCTGGTGCCCTACCATTCACACTGATAAAAGATGTATTTTTATAAAGTACTAAGCAGGACAGATGGTGGGATGAGAACAGCGATGTGAGTGAGAAGCAGGTTTCAGCCTCAGGAGAAGGGAAACAAGCTTATATGCCAGGCTTTTATTGCATGGCAATCACACACAGATGACTCTTGATAAAGGCTCGTGGGGGACTCTGGGGGACCCAGGGAGAAGCTTACGGAAGCGGATACTATCGGAGTGTCCAGAATGGCGAGGAGGGAGACATCTCCAGGCTTTGATCCAATGGCTTTTACATCCCAAGGACAACTTTTGTAGCCAGAATGTTTTCAATGTGCTGAGCTTTGTCTAAATGGAAGAAATAATGGTTTGGTTTTTTTCTTCTCCCAGCCAGAGTAGAAGAAAGAATAAAGCACTGCAGGACGAACCACGTGGAGTCTGCCAGCGATGGTCGCCCAGCAGAGAGGCACTGCGTATTTCACCCTAGGGCCGGGCCCTCCAGAAACGGCCCTTTGCATGATGACGTGTCCATGGCTGACTTCTCCAGAGCATCAGCGAGTCTCCTGTCTAGAGAGCTGCTCCTGAGGTTCTAGGCTCGTGGGGCTGTCATGTAGACGTGGGAGAACAGAGGCCGCATGGCAGAGGCGGCCTTCTGACCTTTCTCTCCTTGCCATTTATGCCCGATCTAAGTCACTTTCAGCCTCCATCTATGTTAAATCCATAATCTTAATTCTAAATTCCTACGTGTCCAGGGCCTTTTATACTTGGCTGAGAAAGAGTTGAAGGTCATCTGTTCAAGTACAAATGCAGTCTCAGAAGGTAAAACAGTTTCTTGTTTTGATTTATAAAATTTTCAGTGAAGTGACTTTACCCATGTATTTCTCCAAAGAAGGTTTTCCTGTGTCCTCACTAGGAGGCAAGCTGGTGATCTTAGAAGGAGAAATCGAAAAGAGGTTCTGGGGGCCCATTTAAAGAAAGACGGAGGGTCTGATCTAGAAAAGTATCTTATACAACAGCTTTTCTGCAAGATATTAAAGCACTTTATAAGTATTAATTATCTCACTGATTCTCATCACACTGTATGAACCAAAGGCATTATAGAAGGCTGGTCCCCAACTCACTAGGCCAGATCTCAAGCCGCCTTTCACAGGCCCCGATTTCTAAATCAAAATACTTTCAGTTCCCTGTTATTCAGAGGTGTGACTGAGTTTATGAAGGATCCGATCTTTCTGCCTCTTTTACTTAATGCCTTCGAATCATTAAACATTTCTGTCTCTGCCCCATCTTCCCCCTTTTATACATGTTGATTTGGTATGATTAGAAAACATAGATACATAAAAAGAGGCTAAGCCAATCATAAGCCCATAATCATTAAAAATTACATTGGAAATTTGGTATGTATTCTGAAAATTTTCTAAATTCATGGGATCATGTATTTTTATTTTCCTTTAATACAGTTTATTTTCCTTTAATACAGTTTCATGGGCATTAGTATCATTAGTATCAGTATTGAAATGGACTTAGGATGTGGGCTGGGGATGAGGAAGGGGGCACACACATGTTAATATTTCATTTGTTCTTCCCTGCATCAGCAGCTCCATGCGAGATGACCTGCCCTGACGTTCCTGTTCGTCTGAGTACAGACCGGCCTGGAAAGAAGAGGAGCTTTGGTGACAGTCGGCTGCTCTGTGATGTGTCTGCATGTGCGCGGGCAATGCATGCCCAGCAACTGGGAGCTTAGCCTCCTGGCACAGCGAGTGGGTGCCAGCCAGAAGCACCCCGGATTCTGAAGGGCGGGCTGAGCATCTGTGAGCCCTTCCGCATAGAAATCTGCAGCGAGGCTGAGGGTGTTTAGGACACCCGAACCAGCGTGCCGCGCAGAACCTAGGCTTCAATAAAAAGCCATTTAGACACATTCTGTACCAGAGACTGCTGTCCAGAGGAAACAGGATACACGGAAAAGTGGAAACCCTATTGTTTACTTGGAGGTATGAAAAGAAATAGGTCAGTGATTTGTTTCCATAGTGACCATTATTGAAATAAGACCAACTGACACCAATACTGATTTACTCTCCTATTCAAGCCCCTTGAAAGATCACTTTCATCTAAGTTGGTTCTTGAATATAAACAAGAAGAGCACGTTACCATTCACAATCATTATCTTTTCCACTTGCAAATGAGACTTTTTAAAATAATAAAGTTAAAATAACCCAGATCCATGCCATTCCAGTTTGTGGGTTTACATAGAACATGTGTTTTCCATATAGGAATGGTGCTGTAGGCTTCTGCAATTTAATGATAGTTACTAAGGTCATATTTGTTTTTGCTTTACCCCAAACTTCAGGATTTCGATTTGCCACTGGTGACCTCTGCAGCCACATGCTAGTCTGAGTTATGAACTTGGGCATTAGAGCTGTCCTATTCCTATTTACAAAAGGTTTTGATCTGACCTTAAAAACCAAGGGCAAGATCAAGTACGGAGTATGGAATGCAACTGTATACATGGGGGTCCAGAAATTATGGCCATGTTAGCCATCAAGATGAACTGCTGCCCGGTGTCATCTTCTGAGGAGATCGGTATCAATTTTCAAGGCAGCTGAAATGCCCTAGTCGGCCAGGCCGTTTCAGTGGGTGCAGGTGGGCCCAACCTCCCAGGTGAGTGGAAATGGAGAAATAAACAGCCGCTCTGCCCACCTCATCCATGGAGGCGGGCAGTCGAGGGTCTGGGTCAGGGGGATCTTGTTCCACACAGCAGGCTTTCTGTGTCTGGGCCATTTCCTTGGCTCGGCTCTTTACCTTTGTAAACACAGCTTAAGTGGGTCAATTCTCAACTGTGGGATGTGGAGATCAAGTCTTACTATTTGTTCCAGACTCGAGTAGCTGAGTAAATGCAAGGCTGTGTGTGGGCGGTTGGGCAGCGTAGGAGGGAGTGCTTACATGTGAGTGTGTGAGCATGTGTGCATGAATGTGCATGTGTGTGCGAATGTGAGTGTGTGCCCACGTGCTCTCCAGGAGGCAGGGACGAGGGGAAGCCCGGTATCCGCTGCGCGGCTGAGCTCTTCAGCTGCAGCCGACCTTTAGTTATCTGGGTCCCGGCCGCCCAGCCAGCAAGGTGACCCAGGGCCTCTTCCTCTCCTTCACCTGCCCTGCGGTAATTTTGTTTCTACTTCCTGTTCTCACAGACACTTCGGTGGAAGGAAAAGAAATAAATGATTTCCTGAGGAAGATGGCAGTGAGAGCAGATGTTGTACCTTTTGGCTAAAATTAGGTGAGAAGATTACCAGTGGATCAGCGTAAAAGTAAGGAGCTTAAGCGGCTGGTTTTGTTTCTGCACTAGGTCAAGGATTCTGTTTCTTATTTCTGTAGCATAAATGTATTTTTTTTATATCTAAGCAATTATTATTCTCTCCTAACATGACAGGCACACGTTAATCCCAGTGCTAGTGTGACAGGAGAGGGCTGTAACGGACAGCACGTTGCAAAGCATGAACTTTGGCCTAGCACAGCAAAGCTGCTCACCTGCCTTCGAGAATGGAAACTGTGAGTCACCTGAGCCCCGCCCCGCCTCCCTGCCTTATGGCTCCGCGGAGAAAGCTCCGGGCTTCTCTCTCTTTGGGGTTTCCACCCTGTCCGTCTCTGAGGATGGCCTCCTCCCCCTTCCGTATGGTTGGGAATCTAGCAGACACAGTTCAAGTTATTCAAAAAGTGTGAGCCTGGGCAGTTCACCTGTTTCCTCAAATTGCTGATTCCGAGAACAGAAATCAATCATCACCCAGTAAAGCCGGAAAAGGACATTTCTTTTACTTGTTTGCTTTTTAGGGGTATCTGCCAAGTTGGAAACCTATGTAAATGACATATAACCGACTACTAAAAGCACCAGACAAATCCTAAAAATTCCTGTGCTCATTCAAGACAGAACTAAAACGCCAAGTACAAAATAATAACTACGTGCTGGTTTTCATGGTATTTCTGAGTTTCTTAATGAAAGTGTCCCTGTAAAAAAAAAAAAAGAGGGAGGCTGTGTTGGAGAATCTGAATTTATAAACGGTGGAGGTATACTATTGAGAGAGAGAGAGGGAGGGAGGGAGGGAGGCTGTGTTGGAGAATCTGAATTTATAAACGGTGGAGGTATACTATTCCTATTTATAAAAGAATCTTCGTTTATGAAAGACTTAATAACACTTTAAATTAATGTATTTATGAAACTCATTAATTCATCAATTCATTTTTGCTTTTATTTCCAAATTTGGTATGTAATTATGGAATTATGAAATATTACAGACACACACAAGGCACAAAGAATCCTAACAACACCATATATCCAGCGCTCGGCTTAAACACATCAAACCCCCTATTTGTCTTCCTCAGTCACAATGCCCTCCCCCCACAAAAGAATGGTCACTGTCATGAATGTAGGGCCCGTTGTTCCATGTAGTTCATCACACCTTTACAGTACATTCACGCATCCTAAATGATAAACACCATTTTTATGTGTTTTGAAAGCCCATAGAACCGATACGACACACCGATCTCACTGACGGGCCGTATCACACATTTTCCTGTAGGTTTTACGCACAGGGGCCTGTGTCACTGCACTTCACTCATTTCCCTATTGGATAGCAGTGCATCGGGTAAATGCATCACAGTTTATTTACTACCCATTCTCTGGTCAGGATTCTCTTTAAACAGAGCATTTCAAGTATTCCTCTGTTGAAATCTGTGTTTCAAAACCTGGTTTTGCTTCCAATCTCCCTACTCCTCAGAGTTACCTTTTCTGGTAATTTAGCCTTAAATATTCAAAGTCAACTTAAAAACAAAACACAAATGATTTTTTTCTGACTATACAAGTGATTCATAACCATTTTAAACTAAACACAAAAGTATAGTTCTCCACTCCAGCAAATACCACTGGAATACATTTGTTGTATTTCTTTCCAGCAATTTCCCCGCACCGATCTACTACTTTTGGTTTGCACAAACCAAACGCTGTCGAAAGAAGCAATTTCCCTTGCCATTAAAAAATCTTTGAAAATTGACATGTTAATGATTAAAAAGCATTTCCGCACATGTTCCAATTGCTAAGCATTTAGCAGTTTCGATAGTCACTCTATTTTCATTTAACAAATGTTTAGTGAGCACCTGCTCCATGTCATGAATGATGTAGAAAAGACAACAGTGAAAGAGATTAAGATTGTGTCTTCACAGAACACTAAATGTAAAAAAACTATACAGGGGATTATGTGATCATTATCGCACCATAAAGCATAAGCTGAAGATACCTAAGAATAAGCTTCAGTAACAGCAAGGTAGAAAACAGCCTCAAGGAACAGGGAATACTTCCACCAGTTGAAGAGAGAGTCCAGCGAGATTCAGAGATAAACGGTGGTGTGTGTGAGTGTACGTGTGTGCATGTACGTGTGTGCGTGTACGTGTGTGTGTGCTTGCAGCCTTTAGGTGGGTTCATCTGGGTGCTGGGTCTGTCCACTGGCAGTGAGAACACACTGGGAGGCGGACAGGAGAGTGAACAGACCATCACCCCTTTATGAAAACCTGTTTGCCTAAGTCTTGGCCCACGTTTCTGGTTATCTCGTAAAGAAGGCATCCTAAATGTTGAATTACAGGGCCATGGGTTTAAAGGAATCACATGTCTGTATCACCAGTGGTCTATGTAAAAGGTGGTGGCCTGGACACAACGTCACCCTCCATGGTGCACCAGTAAGCTATTTTTCACACTGCAGTAGCTAAGGTGAGTGGCTATGACACAAGTTTGCTCTCAGTTACGAAAAACACATTGAGACAGATATTACTGAAATAGCTGAGGCATGTGGGGAGGTGTGTATCTTTGCCATCTGAATCACACACAAACACACACACACACTACTTAGGGGTGTACTAAAGGAGAATTACGCAAGAGGACCTGGCTAGGGTGGGGGACACCATGATTTCACAGAAGGACATGAGAGATTTTAGTGAATGGGAAGACACTTTGGGAAAGAAAGGGTCAATATTATAAATAAATTAATTATCTCAAAAGTATTTTTAAAATCTAACAAATTCAATAAAATTTGAAAAAGGATATTTTAAACAAAATAATTCTAAAGTTAATTGGAAAAAGTAATGTTCAAGAACAGCCAAAAACATTGGCAGTAAATAAATCCACTCAAGTAATTAGAAATGTTTCTCTTGATAGATAAGAATGGGATTGGGGGCTCTGGGGTGTAGGAGTGAAATAGCAGCTGCTGTTTCTCATAGAGAAGCCCCAAACCTTTAGCTAACCCCGTGCTAATTAGTACAATTAAAAATATATACTTTAAAACATAAAAAGAGAATGTTGTGCTGTTTTGAGCTGCATGGGAACAGGCAGACATATTAGTGGGACAGAAGACAGCCCAGAGTTTTTAAAACAATTAAAGAAAAAATAAAACTTTAAATCAGTGACACAATTGTTAATACTTTGCAAGTAAAATAAATTTAGACCACTGCTTCACAAAACAAATATAAAATAATTGAAAGAAGGAATGAAAAACAAAGGAATACCCACAAGACAAAAAAATATACCTACATACCTACATGCATATATATATATACATACACACATACCTACATGCATAAACACATACATACCTGCCTACATGCCTACCTACACATACATACATACATGCCTACCTACATACAAATATGCATACATATCTACATACCTACATGCACACATGCCTACCTATATACATACACACACATACATACCTACATACACACATAAATACATATCTACATGCCTACATGCCTACCTGCATTCATACATGCATGTCTACATATTACATACATTCCTACCTGCATGCATACATACACACATACCTACCTACCTAGATACATGCATACACACATACCTTCATACATACCCACCTATATACACACACATACATGCATGCATACATACACACATACATATCTACATGCCTACCTACATTCATACATGCATGTCTACATATTACATACATTCCTACCTGCATGCATACATGCATACACACATACCTACATGCATACGTACATGCATACACACATACCTTCATACATACCCACCTATATACATACATAAATATCTGTGCTTGGTGTAGTGGTAAAGGAAACTGTACAGTAAAAGGTAAAGATATTTGAGTTCTAAAAACATTTAAGCTTCTATATGCCAGAAAAACACATAAATTTCAAAGCCAATGACCAAATGGGATAGCTATGTACTAAAATGATGTCAATGTTAATAGTAAATTTTAAGGATTCCTTACAAATTAATAATAAACATCCTAATAGAAAAACAGCCAAACAACATAACAACATATGAGGAAGAAGAATAAAGCCAATAAATGTACAAGCAATTTCAATGATCTGATCAAGGAAACACATATTAAACTAATGATGAGAGGGATACACGAGCGGGCCCACGCGGCGCCCAGATCTGCTTCCCGTGCCCGTCTCCGGGGAAGGAACCGTGTCTCTTTGAAGGCATGCACGTTCTAGTGAACACAAACACACACATCTCGGTGGTCTCAGATAAGGAGAAGGAAAGTGTGTCGAAAAGTATGTCTTAAAATCGTATCCTGCAGAATGCACAACCAAACATGGATAACATGGATCTGTGCTGTTTAAGTTAAAAGTTAGATTACAAAATTTTTTTTTAAATGTCACACTGTTGCAACAACAGCCTAGGACTTGGGCCACATTTTAAATCGGTGGCTGTCTTTTCAAATAGGAGTTCCTTCTGCCCTGGAGGGACTCCAGCAGCCTTGCCTGGCCTGCAGGGGCCCCGTGAGCCGAGCCAGAGGCAGAGACAGAAGTGCAGTGACACTGCACGGGGCGCTGCTGGCTTCCCCACATCCCTGGCACAGCTGAGATTTTCCACAAGCAAAGTAAGAAGCTCCATTACACTGTAAGTGCAGCAGTTTATAAAAGAGACCAGGCATACCGGGCCAACTGGCGAGATTTGCCTCTTATCCCAAAGCCTTTAAATAATTGCAACTTTAAGAGAGGAAGCTAAAGGTTATCCATGCCCTCTTCTAGGGAAAGAGCGGGAGACTAGTTCATTATAGTGAGAGACTCTGATATTCGATGCGGACAGGCCTGTGCACCCCAAGCTTCTCTCTAGGGCCAGAACTATACTCAGTTGGCAATCCGGACCAAAGAGGAGGAGAGGCAGCATTTACTCAGTGCCAATATGATTATACGGGGCCCATGGGGCACGTGTTTGCACTTGGGTTGTCTCCAGTAACACACGTAACTGTGAAACAGGATTCTGCGGGGAAGCAGAGGCGTAGGAAGACAAGGCTCTTACCCGAGGCCCTGGCGAGCTGTGCAGGATGACACGGGAACCCCATCAGAGGCCCTCTCCAGGCGCATCGTCATCCCGGCCGTCCTCGGGCCCCACTCTCCGGGTCTGTGAAATAGAGTCAGGCATTCTCGAAGCGCCTTTGTGGCTCTAATATTCTGGAACTCTCTGATTCAAGATGCGTACGCATCAGAAGCTCCCCAAATCCCATGAGCAGGGCCATCGTATTTGCAGACTCAGAGTCGGGTGGGCAGTCTGTTGTCGGATCTCTGCGCCACTTCCAGAAGCAGCCACCCATCTGGAACGCAAAGCCAAGTGTTGACATCTCCAGTGTATTTCATTTGTTCATGGAGGTGACTGAGAGAGAACATTGCGTAATGGGACTCCCCAGATTGTCTGGGGTGCAGGTAGATGGGTGAGGACAGTGTGGAAAACAAGGGAAGTCAAGAGGAGACTTGGTCTCTAGGCCTCTCACTCCTGTCCCTTCTGATTCTACAGTTCCGTCCTCATTCGGTGCCATACCCATCTCCCCAGAGCCCCCTCCCCTAGTATGATGTCCTATGGAACCTGCACTTCCAAATTCCCACCATCCAAAATCAGTAACTCTGATTCCTTTCCTTTCACTGTTCCCATCTATTATTTTGCAGTGTTGTCTGACTGCTGATAGACCCTGAGGTGACTGGAATAATTCATACTAAACTGTGAATGGTTCATTGCTGATCCAACTTGTGATCCTTCTCCCAGGTAACCTTGCACTGTGAAAGGGTTTTCTTCACAGGGATGAAAAGTACAGCATAGGGAATGTAAATAATAATGTAATGACTTTATATAGAGGCCCTTATTGTGGTGAGCACTTTGTGATGCATGTAATTGGCAAACCATTCTGTCGTGCACCTGAAAGGGCCATAGCATCGTATGCCAACGGTACTTCAATACACTTAGGTTGCATTCATTTAAGGAATTACAGGCTTCAGGCATGCCTGAGGGCAAGTGAGGGGCACACTTCGCCCTGGTCCCTCCTTCTGCATGGAGATAGTATTGTTAATATCGTATTTCAAACCTCGAATTCCCAAACTCTTGAGGGTGCGCCTCTATCAGGTCAAAAAATGAGCACTTACCCTGATAATTTATTGGAGTCACATATGTACTTACAATGGATGCGTCAACATGCTTTCTTTACTGTAAACAAACATTTTAAAAGGTGTGGTAAAATGAACACTATTTTTACACTCTCTTAACGTAAAATACATATTTTGCTCTCACTCCAACTTGTTTTGGATATGTAGTAAGTATAAATATGTAGTCAGAATGCCCACTGCATACATGTGCTAGATGCCGAAGAGGGGACCCACCAGAGAGCACCTCCCGTCCCCACCCTTCAGGGTGTCTGCGCCCAGCAGGCAGCACAGGGAGGAGGCAGGCCGAGAAGGGCTCTCTGCGTATAGGGTTAGTAAAGCTTGATTTTATTTGATTAAAACAAAGAAAGAGCTAAAGGCCTTGTGATGGTTTCTTCAGCACCCCAGCTGATGACCGTGGGGTGCGATCACTGCTCCGTGTGCCTTATTTAAAATGAGAGCAGGCCCAGATCCACGTTTTGTGGAACGCAGGACTGTCAAGTTTTCCGAGGAGAAGAAACTCTTTTAAGAAAAAGAATAGACACCAAAATACTCTTGCAACTGTTATGAACTCTTGTTATCTTAGGAGCACATGGCGAGGACGGTCCTAGGGTGATGGACGGGGTCCCTGCGGGGCCCCCAGCGCCTGGAGCAGGGAGGGGGAAGACAGGGCTCCCGCGGGCTTGACGAGGCTGCTCCCGAGAACACGCCGGCTTGGGAAAGAGTTAATTTCTCCTTTGCAAAAGGTTGCTTAGCGCACTGGAATTTGAATGTCCTTTTCCGCCCGGGTGGTCTTCAAGGGGCCTTCCCTCTGGGAAAACCCTGCCTTCTCGCTAAACTGTCTGAAACACAATCCCGGCAGCACTCTGAGCTCGGAGGTCTGCGGCTGACAAGGCCCGGGGCTCAGATGTTCAGATGACGTCGCAGGGGGCCCCCCGGCCCGCTTCCTCCGCTCCTGCCACTGCGCTGCGGGCTCAGAGCGGAGCCGACTGGAGGGGGAGGACGCGCGGCTCTGGGGAGGGGCAGGCTGGCCTCGGTGAGGTCGGGCACCGTCGGCTCCTGCCCGGGAGAGGGGCCCGCTTTACCCGTTCCTCCCGAGGTGGAACTGGTCTTGCAGAAACCTCCGCTGTCTCCCTTTTAAGGCATTGTTCTCAGGGGAAGATGGCGAAGGGAAGCCCAGAGAGGCCCGTAACGGGGCGTTTACGGCCCTGAGGACAGGGGGATGCCCGGAGTCCGGGGGCGGCACCCGAAACAAGGGTCAATAAAGGGTTACGGGTGCGCCTAAGTCGGTGGCAGTAGGAAGGCCCAAGGCAGATTTTACTTTTAAAAAGGCGCAGGGCGGCCCTTCCTCCCGGCGCACCCCTGCCACCCCCTCCTGCAGCACATGCTCCTCTGCTCTCGAGAGCAGGGGTCGCCGCAGCCTGTTTACCCAGAGTGCCCTGCGCGGCCGCGTGACTGGCTGAGTCGCACCACGTGGCCTCCCATGCCCTCCAATGGCGGCCGCAGGAGGGAGGAGTGAAGGCGGGAGGCGCCGAGGTCACCCTGGGCCCACATGGCTGTGGAGCGGAGGCAGCCGGCGCCACCCCGAGTGGCCAGCAGGGAAGGCTCGTGCCCCTCCCGGACAGGTAGGCCCCGCGGCGTGGGCGACAGATCCGCTGCGAGCCCCCCACCGCCTCGGAGCCTCGCGTGCCCGGAGGTGTGTGTGTGTGTGTGAAACGAGCCCGGAGCCCGTGCGGAGAAACGTCCCCGTGGCCCTGGCATGACGGCGGCGGCCCCTGCCCCGCGCCCGGCCCTCCTGCTGGCCCAGCGGCCCGGGGGCTGCCGGCGACCCAGCGCACTTCGGGAAGCGGGCCGGCGCTCTGCCCTCTGCGGTGTGAGCTGCCGGACCCACCCTCAGCGGGACTTCCCGCGGGACCAGGGGCCCGTGATTTGGGCGCCGCTGCCACCTGGTGGCCGCATACCTGGACTGTGCTGCAGGGTTTGCTTTCATGGTTCTATTTTTTTGAAGGATGAAGGAAGTCCTAAGAGTTGAAGATGGAGCCTTCAGCCATAAAATGTCAAAACACATGGCAGGGGAAAGGAAGCAGTGAGTGTCAGGTCAGGATGGGGAAGCTGGACCATTTCCAGGGCTTCCTAGAGCCACAGCTCCTTGGAAATGTGTTGAGTTCCCACAATATCAGATGTGCCCAAATGAAAGAACCAGGATGTATGCCAAAGACAAGATGTCATTGATTTGTATTACTTATCATTTGGGGTTGATTTTCTGTTTTACTCTTTCCATTTGGATATCAAGCTGGTTTCAGTGCACCCAATAATTACATCTAAACTGAAATATAGCGAACACCAACCTAATTCCGCATTTCCACTGTTGAACTGTAGCCCTTGCCCTGGACAAGTCTGGAAGGAGCTCGACCTTGGGCAGAAATAACTCAGCAAAAATGTAATACTTCCTCCCACTCCGGAAAATAACAGCTCTCTATGTCTGTGTTATCTGTGCCTCAGAAAATCAGGTTCTACAATGATTAATGAAGCTCTAAGTAAATGTCCTTTTGTTCTTCAGAGCCCTGCACCACCCCCAGTTTGTACTTTATTCAGATTTCTTGAGGCCTTTGACCCTACCTTTTGGTAACCCAGTTTAGGGGAGGAGGGCAAAGGTAAAGAAAGGGAATTGAGTGTATCATAGGTTTGTCCCAGGGCTCCACAATTACAAAGTTCCTTCATTATATGCTGCGAAGTGAAAAACAAGACAGAGTTTATACGTGGCTCAAGTTGGACAGCAAGTATATGGCAAGGACAGAGTGTGACCCTAGAGCTCTCTGGATGCAAAGAACAGACTCTTACCCAGCATGTCCACAGCCCGTTGAGACTCTGGGCTGCTGTCAGGATGCCCGACTGCCTTCCTGGCAATACTGCTCCTTCTCAATGGCTCCTTGATTAACCTTCTAGGAAACTGGAATCTTCTACTTCATCTCTGGAACACAGATTGAGGCAGGTTCTCAGACAAGATAGCATTAAGTTCACTCTGTCTTTGCAGTAGTGGGCACGAATCAGCTCTGTGCGGGAGGAAAGCCAAGCCAGGCCACAGGATTTGGGGATTTTCAGCCTGTGGATTCAGGAAGCAAAAGTCTTCATTTTTAGGGCTGCCCTGTCAGGCATGTTACAGCTTCCTCGTCCAACGACTAAGTGCCATAAATCTCTAGGCTGCCAGTAGTCAGACTCACATCTAAATGGTCCCGCACACCAGCCGTGAGTCGCCACCAAAACAAAGCTGGGGAGCAAGTGGCCCATAAATAAGGCCCCTCTTTCTGGCCATGGATACCTGGAGAAAAAAGGAGGCCTAATGGGACAGCACCACCTATGCTGTGGACCTGCCCTTGGACCCAGCGCCTCTGTGTTGTCGATGCCCCTGACAGCAGGTCACCCAAGGGTGGGCTTGCTGGGCAGCAGCCCTGTGGGAAGCTGAAGAGTGGCTGCGGGCTGGGTCCTTTGCTTGTTGGCGATGAGGCCGCGTGAAGAACCGGCCCTCCCCAGTCTGTCAGCTCTGGAAGTGTGCAGGAGCCCCCATCTTAGGACATAGCTCAGACTTTTCTAGGATTTCTATTGGATAGGGACAAGGTAAATGCAGGACAACCTCAGAAATAAGAAAAAGTCTTACTATAGGATGTGGGCTTAATTTTTTTTTCTGAGAAGGACCGGATAGTAACTATTTTCATTTTTGTGGGCTACACAGCCTGTTTCAGCTACTCATTCCCCCAGGGCACAGAAGCTGCCACATGATGCCTGAATGAGTGGGCCTGGCTGTGTTCCAGGACAACTTTATTTACAGGAAGAGGTGGTGGGTGGATTTGGCCCTCAGATTTAGCTTGCTGACCCCTGAAATAGGGGAGGGAACAGAGATGTTCCCATGAGACCCAGAACCTAATCCCTGTTCCCCATGCACTAGATCTCTGACGTTAGTGAACTGTTTGTCTCTGAGTTCATTTCCTCATTAGTAAAAAGGGGTTAACCGTATGTACTGCTTGGAGTTGTGATAATGTGTGCTGAGCGCAGAGTGGATTTTCAGTAAGTGCAGGGCTTCCCACAAAATACTGCGGCTCTTGGGGAGGCTGCCTGCAGTGCCCGAGGGCCCGAGGGCCCTCTCAGTCTCAGATGCTCGTCTTTTACCTCATTTGTTGGGCCTGACTCAGACTGATGAAGTGTATTTCACTCCATTTGTATTCTAAAAGTAGGTCTTTCCAAACTCACTGACATGTTATTTCAAACTGTCTGGCAGCATTCAAAACTGTGTGGAGTCCCCTGGCAATTTCGTGGCACCAGAACATTGCCTACCCTAAAATTTTAAAATTATCATGGAATCCAAAACAGATGTCCCAAATCTAGGGGGGACTAGAGCAGCCTTCATTTGTTCTTTGGGAATGCCCTCATAAGCATGTTTTTGGGCAGACTTCTGTGATAAGAGCCAGGCAATAAAAGATCTCAGAGTGGTCTAAATACTGCAATTTTGGCAATTTGTGTCAAAAAATTTGGAAGGCACAGATAACTGAAACAACTGACTAAATTTATGGCTCAACCCTTCACTAAAATATCTGGGTTTGGAAGATGTCATTGATCAGAGAAATGAGAATTTGG